TAATAAGAAAAATACTTAATAAGTTAGAAAGATACTGTAATTGATAGAAATACATATAAATTAAGAGGTAGAACTGAAGAAATTGGAAATAGAAGCAGAAGGACAGAAAAGGAAAATTGTTAGTATGGCTAAGATCAAGTTGAGTTTTAAAATATATACATTGCAACAAAAATAATATTAAGAATTTTACTGAAATAATTTGAATGGAAAGCTCTCTGAATATCTTGGTCCTTGTCCAAATTTATTTTTATTTGCTTAAAGTGTTCAAATTCTGTGGTCTGATTTATCAAAAAAGCTATGTATAGATAGCTAGTGGGTACTCAACATTTCTGAAAATAAGCCCATTAATTCTGTTGAGCCAGGAGAGTTTCTGCTTGGAAAATCTATGTGCCTAGGAAAAGTTTGGTACTTACCTACATCATGAACTCCCTAGATATCTTTAAACTTCCTCTGTTTTCATCTCTTGCTTTTAAAATCTAATCCATGGTTTCAAGTTTTTGAGGAGAAAAAAAAAAGCAAAAGGTGAATTTTCTTTTTTTTTTTTTTTTTTTTGTAATTCATGTTATTTTTCCTATTTCAGAATACTACTTCTAATGACTGTTGTTTTGTTTCTCTCCTACATTACCCACTCCAGAGAACACAGYAGGCTTGCTAGTAGAACTGGCTTTATCAGCCCAGCTGATGAATTTAGCTTTGGAGCTGGAGGGAATTTATCCTCTGGAATTAGAGGCTGTCAAGGCAGCTTTTTTGGTGCAAAAGAGAAACTGCACAAATAAAAGTAGTCACTAAAAAGCATGTATTTACCAAGAAATGTAGCTTATGCAGTTGCCTCCATGGAGTTATAGCTTTCTCCCAGGTAAATTATTTTATGACAGGCAGTGATTTTTTTTTTTATTTCCAATCCTGTAAGCAAACAGCAACTACAAACAAAATTGCCCCCAAGGAAAAATATCTAAGAATAACAAATTCAAATGAGATGGGAGATGTGACAAAAAGCAACTTTCAATGCAGGTTAGGCAATTATGAGAGGAGAAATGTACAAAGTTACAGGAAAAAAAAGCATTTGGTATTCTTCTTCTTTCCGGTTTCAGCAGAGGAATGTTTGATCTCTAAACCCAAGCTGTACTAATTTAGTTACTACTGTGTATTCTGAGATGCCGAGCTCTCTGTGGGAAACATTTGCTTTCTCTCCAAGACATTCTGCAGACTGGTAGATACATGGTCTCTTCAGCAATGGTTTCTTCTGCTCACCAAAGCATGGTGTCATCAAAGTCACTGGAGCACGGATATGTCACCAAGTCCTTTCCAATTCATAAGGATCTATTGCCTATCAGTTTGCAGCTTTGGTTTCCCACTGACAAGCCACAATGCTCTTTTGCACCAAGTTCAGAAGGTGGAAAAAATGTTTGTGTCTGTCTGTGGCTTTGTGTGCAAGTGAAATCTTTAGGAGATCCTAGCAAGTACTTTTGCATTGCAATGTCACAGCATCTCTGCAACGCTCTTGCCACCTATGCAGCCCCTTGGGTTGCCTCACTGAAGTGAGAAAGAATCACAAAACCCTGAAGCTATGATTGAATGGCATGTTTTCTTCAAAAATTCTCCCTCAAATAAAGCTACCAAGGTTTCTTGAAGGAGAAGTTTCAGATGCGGTTTTTAGACTGACTCAACCTTAATCCCAGATTTGGTCAGCATTTAGTTATTATGATTTAGGATTCTGTGTAAAAGGCTTTGAGCAGTACAAGCAGAAGGTACTCTTCATTGTCTGCATCTTAGGTGCAGTCCAAAGTAAGAAGATGCAGTTTTGTGGACATATTTTCCTTTTTTTTTTTTTTATTCTGGAAATGTTCCCATTTTAGTGACTTGGAACGTAGTACCTCTTAAAAAGAACCAACGACAGGTGTGACAAAGGCTTAAATGCAACCACCCCATCAGCATCAGCATCCACGGCCTTAATAGCCCACAGGGAGAAAGGTCTGACTCGACAGGCCTGGACGTGCTGCACAGTTGCAATTCTGGCAGCTCTYGCTCTCCAGTTAAGCCTTCAAAAGCAAAGTGAGCAGTAAAACCACAGCAAATCATATGCAGTTTATTAATGTGATGTGACTGGCACGCTCTCCTTCAAAGCAATAGGACAACGCACTCAAACCTGGCCCAAGCGGCCTTTTCAAACAGAAGGCGCAAGACCTGAAGATCCACTACAAATACAAATGGGAAATAGGAGTAGCTRGGACCTCTAGGGAGACCTAGATCACTCTATCAGGGCCAGCTCAAGAGATGTCGTCCCATTCCTTCAAGGAATGAAACTCGTCCTTTTCCACCCAGATTGACACMAAACAGGCCCACCTTCAGGCCCACTTCAGCGGCCACGTCTCCCTACAAGTCTTACTCCTTTTCTCACCTTAACTCCTCGCAAATACAGCAGTACCTTTGCTACATGTTCATATTTCTGTGTTTTGAATCCTAGAGTGGTTATTTTTTCCCCTGATTTAGCAAATTACACGTTCCTAAGGTACTTTTGAAAACACARCTGAGCCTGAAGCAGTTCATGTAGGTCTGTAAATAATCTCCCGTGTTTTTGCCTCATATGATTCTTAAGGTAACCAAAACAGATTATATGCTTAAACCTTACTATTTCCAGTGTTCTCAGGAACTTTTTAAATCCCACTAGATACTCACATCTGTCATAAGACAAAACAAGTTTTGTCAGGCTATTTACCACATGATTTATGACCATYCATGGACATTCCTAAGGGTCTGAGCCTCATAAGAATTAACAATAAGGGTCAAGAGATAATGAGATGCCCTGGACTTGGCTACTGAGTTAATAAACATTTTAATTATTGTTAAAAGATGAGCGGTAAGAAAATTAATCTTTGTAGTTTGCGGAGATTCTGTGAGATTAGTAAAACCCAGAAAACGCTGTTTCCTACTCAGTAATAACTCATCTCCATAGAAAAATCACTTTCTTTGTCAGCAGTCCTAACCTAATAGTCTAACAAATGGCATATGCCACTCAGGTCCTTCTAAAATATGCTCTATTTGGAGCAGCCTGCACTGCACATATGCCCTGACATGCAACAGTTCTGTGCCTTGGTGTAGTCACATTATCAATCACATTTATTACGAAATTGCTGGAGGTCTAACCATTAGACTGGACATTAATTCACTAGACATTATATACACTCATCAGACAGCAGGTGCATTCTGGAAAGCTGCAAGGGACACATGGCCAAAGCCACGGTTCAGCACTGAGAGAAAACAATAATTTAATTAATTTTACGCTGACAGTTCTGTGTGCACGTGCTGTTATGTTTTGTAGAGATTCCTTTTTAATCTACATGGGAACTATCCACATAGATAGGACTGTCGCACCATTAGCAAATTCACATCTGTGGAGATGGACGCTTATTTTCTTACATTATAAATCCAGTTCACTGTGATACTGAGGCTCCTCTCCAAGTTACCAGTGTCAAGAACCTATAAAGATTGTTGTTGCTCCCACGTCTTGTGATTGGACGCTGGAGCTTCGTGATGCCTAACACTTTCAATATTCTAATATTTATATAGTCTTTTTGAGAATGATATAAAAAGTATGAAATATTATATTTAGTAAATTTATAGTAAATTTATATATTTACTTAAATATATAAAAATGTTACTGTTAGTCCCTTAATTTGCTTATCATCTATCTGAACGAAAAATATGAAAAGTAAAGGTCTGGATTCAGAATCACCAATGCCAAAAAGCTGAAAAGACTTTAAGGTATCGTACTGGAATTCATGAAAGATCAGCCTTGGACACGATCCTTTCCCTTTTTGAGTTAAAATATCATAACAACAGTTCCCACAATGTCCCAACTGGGTCTGAAATAAAAATCACAAATAGATATTTTGAACTACTAAGTTAAGAAAATACATAATATTGAATACCAAATTTCTCAAACTGAACCAAAAATGGAAATAATCTTCCTAAAACTTTAGTAATTTGGAGACACTGGGTTTTTTTTCTGTCTAAGCATAAGTAAACCAGTAAGCCAGTTAGCATAAAGTATATAGCACTTTGTTCTGAACATAGTATTTCTACTCTGAACACAAAGTGTTTCTCTTTTAAATCCTAACTTCTGATTTGAAAGGATAACAAAATTACTAGTAAGTMATTTTCTACTATAGTTTTGTATACGGATATTTGCCCAGTGCATTTGCTAAATGGATATTTGCCRTTCAGTTTTCAGTTCATTCATCTGTGACACTCCCACATAGCTTTAAATCTGCACAAATGCAGGTATGTTTCATGAACTTCATATTGACATTATGAGTGAGTGATCTATACACAAAAAATCAAATATATTGCATTTCTCCTCAGTGTCTCATCTTTCATTAGGTCTTGTAGCTAAAGGAAGGGGAAGTTACAAGTCTCTCTCTGCCTTTTTTTGCTTTGACACTATATGGAAGGAAATTATGGATGATACGTCTTCATGTTTGCTTTTACTCATAGCAAGTAATTATATCTGTTAATTATATCTGTCATTATATCCGAACTGACCTATAATTATGTCTTGGCCATGAAAAATTCAAGTACAAATTTCAGATGTTTCCCTTTAACTACCCAGTAAAATCCCAGCGATTTCGTTCATGTCAATACTGGCAAGGATTTTTTTTTTCCTGAAATCTTAGAATAATGTGTACAAACCCAGGAAGGAAGAATATTTCTCTCTCTCTTTTTTTTTTTTTTTTTTGACACAACTTCAATTCACTCTGACAGCCCATGGATCCTTAGCCATGCTCCAACAGATCAAGATGGGATATTTGGCAATATTCATAGAATATCAGAAAAAATAATTAGTGAATGCAACATCATTGGAAAGTTACCTGCTGTTCAAGCAACTCTCCAGGTAGGATTTCTTCAGCCTGGAAAGCACCATTACCTCATGTCACATCTGCCTCTCTCCAGGCTGATGAGCTGCTCTGCAGCTTAGTGCATTCTCATGTAGGTCGCTGCTCTTTCTCTCCACCTCCACGCCCATTCATCTGGAAGACAACAAATTATTCCAGGACATTAGATCCACTACAAATTGCTGCCATACTCTAGTCCATGGAAAAAGATATAYGTCACGATTGTTCTATTCAAATGTTTATTGCTCTGCTAACAAAAAAGAGTGGTAGAACAGGCCTTGCAGACACAAAAGATCCCATATCTTTTGAATATGAAGGAAGGTTAGCAGGGACTTGTTACCTGTCGCTCGTGTCAATATAATTGGAGCTTCTTTCCTTACAGAGAAAAGAAAGGATATTCTAGAAGAGTAGAGTCGTGTGGTAACAGAAGGGGGTCATCTTCTTAAAAATCCAGCTGATGACTGTAAGAGTAATGGCCATAGAAAAAGGTGTTGGCCTTGCCTTTCCCATGGGCACATCACCTTCCAAACCACAGTTTTGTCTATAAGGGTAACATCAACACATATCATTTTTCAGTGGTGATCAGACTGTTCAGCATCCTTCAATTAGGTGTAAATGAAAGGTAAACGAATAGAAAGAACACTTTATGCAAATCTATTTTATACAAAATTATATTTTATATAAATACAGGAAATGGCAGCTATACCTTCTGGTCTTTCAGTTGCCATATGCAAAATAACGTTGTCGCTTGTCCTAAGTGCTGCTAAGATAAAAACTAATATTTTTTTTAAGACTTGTACTGGTAGTGGAAAACATATACTAGTGTACGAATGGATAGTGGTTGAGGCAAATCCAAACAAGCAGGACTTTTCTGTATGGTGAAACAGCCYTTTACACAAGAGAAAACTCCTTTTAGAAGTTCGTCATCTGCATGTTTGGAGAATCCACTCAAAAATGTCACCAAAGATGTCACAAATTGCCTATATTCATATATTAATAACACTCACACACACAMAGGAGATGTAAGAAACAGGCTGTCAGATGACCAAACAGACCAACAGGTATCAGCTGAAACAGAGTTTAATAGTGTGAAAATATCCCCTGGGCTCAGTATGATCTGAAACCTTTCATTTGGACAGAATACATCTGTGGACAAGGCAGCAATGACTAGTAACGTACATCAAGAAGRGCAGGCTGGGAAACCATGCTAAACTCTGATGTAGATTAAACATAAGCAATATTTGTTACAAGCAAGCCATAATCCCAATGGAAAGCCATTTGTCTGCCATGAGAACTGGCATTTGTTTCTTCATTTGTTTAGATATTATATGACACTAGTTTCCATGATAACCAAATCGACTGAATGTTCACCTGTATCAGCTGAGCAGGACCATGGAAGCCCCAGTCTGTAACAGTGCAATTGTCCATGGTAGGAAACAMATGTATTTTCAATGACGAAGCAGGTAAAAATGGCAAAAAACAAGAAATAGTAGTAAGGCTTGGTGAATACAGTGACATATCTGACTGAAATCAATCTTAAAAAMGAGAGAAGTGTCACTGCGGTGCAGACGTCCTGCCATCCACTTAGCACTTACAAACTATCTCCAAACTATCTAACCAGAATTATGTGCAATAAGTTGTTTATAGTTTCATTGGAAGGAGACGACTGATTCACTTTGGCATGTGTCCACTTCAGTTACACAGGAAAAAAGATTTTGACAGTAAAGACTTCAGGAGCACAGACACTGAACAGGTTGTAGACACTACAAGTCCAAACTGAATTTGGGACTTTACATATAGCAGTTACTTGGGTATCTACAAGTCCAATTAGCTCTTACTATCTTCTAAAAAAAAAGAAAAAAGATCATGTCTTTATCATCTAAAAAAAAAAAAAAAAGATCATGTTGAGAGTAAATAATATATTTTTTTTTTGCAATATTAAAAAAGGTTTCATTTGTTTGGATTCATTTAAATGGGAGCATTTAGGAACATACTATTTCCCAGTATACTGTATTAAAGTATTTTCCAAACATTCTCAAAGACACAAATAATATACTGATAATAGTAATAAAAAAAACCTTATTTCTAGATACAGAGATTAAGGATTTGGTACAATTTAACAGTTGCAAAATAATTTTAAACAGTGTACATCTTCATTCTTTTCCAATTTTCATTTGTTTTGACAATAGAAACAGAATAACTTCCCCCAAAACAAAATGATATGATTCTCATTGTTTTGTTTTTTTTTTTTTCCTTTGTATATGTGTGTATCACAAAAGCACACCAGTTTTAGCACACCACTAACATCACGGAAGTTTAATTCATACACAAAGTGAAGTGACATTTTAAAATCTGTCCCTGTGCTGTAAAGAGAATTATTAATCTAAAATGTGCTAAGAACTAGGTACCAAATCTGAAATATCTTATTCTGCACTGACTGTATTTCTAGTGTAATTTGTTACAATTTTTCAAAGGGTGAGAATTAATCATACTATCCCTTGTATGTGTTTATACTAGCTCATAAATCTGTAATACATGCTTTAAAGACAAAGTTATGCTGGAGAATTCATTTGATATGGTCCAGTGGCCAAGCATAAACGCTGGATGTAAATCTTGTCAAGATGCATAAAATCACAGAATCACAGAGCAGTTGACATTGGAAGGGACCTCTGGAGATCAACGGGTCTAACCGCCCTGCTCAGAGCRGGGTCAGCTACAGCAGGTTACTCAGGGCCATGTCCAGTCAGACGTGCTTATGAAAAAGAAACAGAAGTGCAATGACAATTCTTCTGTATTTTATTTTTTTCTTCTGTATTTTTATTTATTTTACATCATTAGATCCGTGAGGCAATGGGCCAGGATGATTCATCTCCAATAGTATAGATTCAATGGAAAAAACTCTCACTGATACAGCTATGCAATATACTTTATTCTGAAGGATTTTAGCTGTTTTAGTGTCTGGCTTTACCTATGGATTTAAGATTTTTTTTTTTTTTGTCACTGAAAATTGTTTAGAGTAGAAAACAGGACTTTGGGAATTGAGACTGTACAGTTAAAACGTGAGATAAAGATCTCTGCATGCATATAAAGGTTGCTGCATGAATAATTTCAGGTTGTCACAGGGGCTTTTCGTCCTGCACCACATTCCAGACTGAGCCTTGACAGGTGCAAAGGCAGATTCCCTGGCTTCAGCAGAACCAGAATGTGGCACACAGTGACAAAATAGTTCAGCTAAATAACAACACAGTTGGCATTTGAGAAGATGAAGAAAAAAATCCTATTTATTCTCTTTCAACTTTGATGAAATTTATTCAAAGTTTAAATATACATATGGTAAAACTTAAGTTTTTTGCTTTGTGTTTAGCTGATGGCAGATTTTGGAACCTTACTAGCTGGCTTCTGTTTAGCTTTAGCTCACTTCCTAGAAGACTAAATCAGCCAAGAGAAAACAGGCAGACAAAAACTCCCACAAGAAATGCTACATTTCCTAGGCCTACGGATCAGACAGCAAAATATCCCTCATTTTGATACCAGACATATCTTAGACTTACACCTTTGACATTAAGCTCTGGACTTGGCTTTCTTAGGTTTGTATTTTTAGTAACGAGGGAACCGTGTGGTCGCAACAGCCCATCCTCCCCTATTTCTTCCATCCTCAAAAGCACRCACATCTCATCGTTTATACAAACAGAGAGGGACAGAAGAGTCATTTGACATTATGATCACAGAAGAGTGTCCCTAGCTCTAGAGGCATGCATGACCCACGGCCAAGAAAGCTTCATTCCCAGGGACGAGGAGGCACTTTCCTTCCAAAAACTACTTTGAACTCTTGCACTGACTGAAGCAACGACACTCGTGGCAACCTCTCCAGAACTTCTTGCCATGAGCTTTTGGCACCAGCATGAGGGCTATTCCCCTTCACAGTGCTTGTGGGTGCTCACACGCAGACGAGATGCTACTTGGCTAAACACGGAAGAGACTGAGCCAGGAAAGGGTAGGAAGATTCCCCAGCCCAGGCAAAAACTGATGACACATAGCACACACAGAGAGGTTTGGGGATGCTCGTTCTCAGCACAATCCAGTTTATGGTTCAGTTATGCAGCTTRCGAGCACTTTATGATGGCAATGACCCTTACTGGTGTGCACAATGCYCTGCAAACTAGCATCTTTGAGGGCCAGAGGGCAATCCACAAGTGCATCAATATTTTGCCTCACAAGTAGGTCACYTGTGGACTGCTTGCTGTAGGAGCAAACACTGCAATTTCCTTCTAGCTGTGAGAAGGCTCTAAGGACTAATTCCCATAAGTGGGTGTTGGAGTAGCTTTATGTGGCATATAGGTTATTAGTGGCTTTGCTCTTATCAAATCCTACAGCCTTCTTCCAAGACATGATGCCCCAATGGAAGTTACTTCGGTGGGTCAAGCCAGCAACCTCTACGTGCCCCAATCTTATCCTGTCTAAATCTAATGATAACATAAAATCTAGCCCTGGCAGCACCATGATTGATGCAGTTAATATAAATGCACTTTGAAATTATCTACAGAAGAGAGAGAGAGAAAAAGAAAGAGCAACACCAGTAACAATAACCCCAAATTTGAGTCTAGRAGGAGTTTGAAAAGGCATCTTTATGCATTTACACTTTAAATAATTCAGAGCACTGTATCAGCAAGCCTTGGATGAAGCACTAGGACACTGGTTTCATAACAGCATTGCTCTACAAACATCAGCACCGTAATTCTGTGCAAGTCTCGAGTGCTTTGGCAACATTTACTAACTAATGCCCATTGCTACAAAATGATTATTTTCATTTCTTTGGTTACTCCTCCAGGACACATGGTTTCATGTCACAGAGGATTTTCCAAGGCAAAATTTACTATCAAAAAAGAGAAATAGTTAGATTTTAAAATTCATATTTTTTAATTTTTCTTTTTAATCTGGGCTTTTAAAGTGAAATTGATATTGAAACGTGAAAAGTACAGGCCAGAGGAGAATGAAAATATGTGGGAAAATAGAAAATGTCCAGAAAGTTATGAGTGATTTATATATCTATGGACTGCTAAGAATAATTCAGTTTATCTGCACGCCTAATGACTTTGTGCAGACACACCGCACCAAGTCCTAAAAGATAATAACAAGAAACATAATTGGGTTTTTGTAGATTTAGGCCAACATGAGAAAGTCAACAGAAGTGCTAGGCAGATTAGAAAGCATTGCAGGAAAAATCTGCAAACCCACGAGGTTCAAAGTATTATAGCAAACTTACCTCCTTTATAAACATTTTACTTATTAAATCGATATAAACAGTCAAGGTCAATGCTTTCATTCTGCAGCCAGGAAACGGCCAGACAATAAAAGCTGCAGAAATTAATTCATAAAAAAAGATGCATGCCATTGAGATTTGAAAAGAATATAAAAATATATGTTTTTAATTGCTGAGCATAAACACCATCCTTTCTTTACTCAGCCCYGCAGTGTATGAAAACTTGGAAAAGTAGTTTAGAAGTCACTACCTAATATATATTGCCTAGTTAAGTCTGTTAGTGTATGGTCCAACTTGCTATCCAGTTCTGTGTGGATGTGTCATGGCTGTTGCAGGTCTAAATCTATCTTCACAGCAAGCAAAATAGCCCAAAACTCTAAAATTGTGCTTCACTCTCATAGCTTCAAAAAGATTTCCCTGTATTTCAGTTCTCTTTCGTCTGCAGCAAGGAATTTAGCTAAAGCAACAAACTGAGATGAGATAATTATTCATGCTTTGCCTAATTATATAATGTTTCAGGAGTGCTGTCMTTCCCAGGACCTAGTCCTTAGCTCTCCAAGGTAAGCAGAGTGCATTATGGCCTTTCAGAATGGGAGAAATGTGAAGGAAAAAGTGGATTCCTTTCCTGTTTGTGGATCTCACACAAGTAAACTTGAGAGTTTCTCATCTTTATATATAGACTTTTTTATTGTATTGATAACGTTTACCAAGTTTGTCATATTTAGTTACCCACAGAGGCCTTTCTATGGCTCTTTTTTTCTGGCTTTTTTTCCTTTTGGTGCACCTTGCAGTTTGTGCCTTACCTGATGCTCAGCCAGGAAGAAAAGAGTCCATACGCAGTTTGCAAGAGTAGGAGATGTTAGATCATGAACCCATCGGGCATTCCTTCAAAGGTCAAAATGTTGCAAAATCTCCCACACAAATATGTGAAGTTTAGGAGGAATATCTCAGAATAGGTCTAGAAATGTCAGAAGACATAGACTGTCTGAAGAGTGCTTACAAGGGATTGCTGTACTGTGACCAGCAGGGAAAAGAGATATTTGTTAGCAAAGAATTCTGGAAGAGAAGGATGAACCTTATCAATGTTCATCTAGGGAAGGGCCTCTAGGTCTCACAAATTGCACTGATAATGTTTTCAACAGGAGAGCAAACGATTGTTTTATCCCTATTGCTTCTTACCTGCTGTTTTGATCTTTCCACTGGAAAAAAAAAATGAGCTATTATGCTTTAAGACTGCTGTCGTTTTACTTCTCTTCCAAAAACTGAGTAAAAAATCAGGGAAAACTCAGAAACAGAATTAACACCACAAGTGGAATTCCAGTCTCTAGATTTTCAGAGATTCAAACGTCAACTAGCTAAACAAAAAAAAATTCTAGTGCTATCTCAGTTTCTAAATCCATGGGTAAAAAGTTGAAAAAAAGGTTATGAAACCTGAAAGAATATTTTTCACAGTTAAAATTTCTCCAACAACTTCAAGAAAAACAAAATCTTTATCTTTTAGAGTTATTCCACAGGTTCACTTTACATACTGCATGAAAAAGTAGAAGGAAGTAGTTTTCTATTCTTGGTGTTTTTCACACTGCTGAAAAGCAGCCTGTGTTTACCTTCCCTAGCTGTGTTCCAAGAGCCACAGTGATGGTCTAAAGCTCGAAGCAGACAGTAACAAGCCCGAGGAGGACACACATCAACGCCCAGGCCATCTGCTCTCTTTGGAGGCTTAACAGCATCATTGTGAATGATGCAACATAAAGCCACACCTGGGACACGACATGCACAGTGCTAACACCTACGGTCGCTAATTGAAAATGTGGTGAGAGGCACAAAGCTCCCGTGGGTGCAGCTTGCAGGTTCCCTCGCTCTGCCTCAGGCTCTGCTGACTTTCAGACAAGAGAGATGATGGAAACCGAACCACTTGGGAAGACCTCACGAAAGGAATAATGTGCAGCGCTCACTTCCATCTGTAGATCGCATTGCTTTAAAGAGAAACTTTTTGTATTGTTTACGGCTTCGTAGAGAAAGGTGGAAGAAAATGAATRGTCAGATTTACCAGGTAACCATTGGGGGGAAAGGAGAGCTAAAGTTACACGTTATGATAAACAATTCTGAGCTTAATTCTGTATGTAAGTTTTCTTTTTAAAGCCTTCTGTACAAACAACACAGCAACGGAAAGTTTCCAAACATTAACCGTTTTAGAAATAATGTGGAAAATATTCAATTTCAACTTTATTTGGAAAAAAAAAAAAAAGTACTACTGTGACATTTAAGAGTGATTGGACTTCCTACATAATCTTCAATTCATAGCAACTCAAAGGCCTAATCCTGATTCCACTACATCCATACAGTCTTAACACTACAGAAACAGTCAGCTTCTCATTCGCTGGATTTACATGTCACAGACCACATTGGGAAAYGCTGCAGCACGCTGAGGTTATTAAATCGTGCAGCTCCTGCTGCACACACTTGCTCTGGTCTGCACTCCTCAGCTACGCTCCTGCTAAGCAGGTCAAAGGGATCAAAAGGCCTCTTTTCTCCAATATTTCTGCTGAATAGAGCCCTTCTTAATAAACTGAGTAGGCTTTTAGTTCAATCAAGCATTGTGCACACAGCGCAAAAAGAAAATGTGAAGCAGCTTCTGAATCTTCTTTTTTTGCCTTTCTGCCYATCATTTTTGGAAAGAGAAAGACCACTGCAAAAGAGTGCAAGCCTGTTTAAAGATGATACAGATTTTCAGCTATTTTTGAATGCAGAAACATCAATAAACAAGACAGGGATTGGAGTGGGTCACCACTTCTTAGTTTCATCCACAACTACTTAGTGAATACTGAACCAAAGACTTTTCCATTTTTTGATAATAGTAACAACAGCAATAATAAAAATAAGACTAAAGCTGACATACCTTAATCAGGATGTTCTCCTCGCTACCACAGACAAATCCATATTGTGCTACCGGAACTTGCACCCGTGGGACTTGTACAGGATGAGGTCCACATTCAAGGACTAAAAATGTATCCAAAACCTGAAAATTAAATGAAATCATAAGTCTTGGGCCACATTTTATGAAATCAGAGATATAGCCCTATTGGTACACTTTTTGCTTCACTGTTATTTGCCCCTTTGTGCATTGCTTTACAAGTGACGATACCACTGGAAGACTAAAAGAAGAGGAAAAGTTTTTAGTGATGTCAGAAGCATCTCAAAAAGTGAATATAATGCAATATAAATATTGAATAGAATGGATGAATAGATATCACTTCAGGCTTCTGTGATTCAGGATTCATTTGAATGAAACTTGCCAAAAAATAAAGCAAAAGTTTTCAATATCCTGCCAGGTCAGCTGTAGTATAACACTGTAACATATAACACTGTGTTCTCTAGAAGCAGGGAATGGATATTTCTTTCCATATCATTTATTTATATTTGCTCATGAGTGCATCCTTAATGAATACATCCACCAAGAGCATTTAGAGGGAAGTCAAGGTGAAAGAAAGCAAGAAATGAAACCACTCCACCTCCTTCAGCTTAAGGTCYAGGGAAAAAACAACACATGAGCATTTACAGCTGTGGTATGAAGGACAAGATGAAAGTATGATATCCCCTGGAGCATTCAGACCAGTTGGAAAGAACCGATGCTCACGAAATACAAGACATCTCAGCAAATCATTAAAAAAGAGAGTTGAAGAAAAGACATTACAGATTGCTTTCTCCAGCCCACCTCTTTATCCCAGTTTAACTATTGATCCTTATATCTTTTGTTTAACATTTAGCTTATTAAGTGTTTGGGACGTGGGATATCCTTTGCTTTTGACTTCTTGCAGAAATTGGCACAACAGAGTTGAGTAGATTCAAAGTCACCTCTTCCAGGTGCATAGAAGATGTGTAAAGCTTAGTAAATAATTAGCTAAAAAAAACAAAACAAAACAAAAAAAGAGTGTGGCCAAAGCAAACGCAGAAGGTGGATGTTCTATCAAGGGAATCAGAAAACCTCCCACAGAAAGCAGCAAAGGTGAGTAAGGTTCTTAACTGGTACCTTCCATACATCCTATAGAGTCCAAACTGAATTTGGAAAGAGCAYTTTGAGCCCCTTGTGGCTCTTATCTACCAGGCTTAAAAATAAATAAATAAATAAATAAACGCTATTATTTGGGGATTTAAAAAAGAAACTGCACCCACTGGATTCAGTTTTCCCTTCCTGTGCAGCTCCTTTATGCCACTCTGCCACCCCATAAGCCCAGAAGGCCCTAAATTGATGCTGAGTATTTCAGACACAAGGGAGTCGCTCCTTCAGCCTTTCCACTTGAGCTCTTCCTAAACTCTCACAAACTCAACGCAGCCTCTCTTTAGCTGCTGGAGTTAATGCTGCTCAGAAAGGGAGAGGGAGATAGAAGGCCATTAAGTGGAGGGCTAGTCTTCACCCAGAGACCACAAAGATGCCTTTGCTGCCTCCTYGAGTACAGTATTCGCTGTGCAAATTGCCAAGTTTTTAGCCTTAGTTTTTAGTAATTCTGCATTACCTTGGCACAAGGCAGCAGCCTATACAGGCTAATTCTATGCTTTCCATGCAAAACACTGTGATAGGATGAAAGCTGACAGACACTCAACTGCAGTGCCCTGTTCCTTGGCCAAACACGATCCTACTCCAGCGTTAATGCAGGGGGAGAATAGATTGACCAAAACACTATTTGGTGAACCCGAACTGCGCTTTCCTGTTGTCTCCAGTAAAACAATCCATTCGGTCAACGTCAAGGCACATTACTGGATTAATCAGGAGAGCTAATCAACATCACTGTTGATAYGGCCACCACTAATTTAGGATATGGCACTGCTTAATGCTGTTCAGCCAGGCAATGTTCTTATGCTAATAATAAAGGGAAAAAAGTACATTTGGCCACTTCTCCAGCTGTCATCATGCCTTTCCCAAGAATGCAGAGCTGCTGATTTACACAGGCTATGCATCTGCCCTGTGCTATGGCCTGCAAAAATAAAGCAAACAGAAACAACCTACATTTGCCTAACAAAAGAGGCACATACAGACTATGCCAGCTCTTGAAAGAGCGCCCTTGAACCATCTGCAGTTTCCAAGACATCCTGTCCCTCAGCTGCAGCAGCAGGGAATGCACATGTTAACCCAGTCATGTTTTGTTCCTTTCTTCATTTAAATCAAGTGAAAACAAAACGTGTAAAGGCCACCAAATAYAAAGAGTAACCTTCTCCAACTGATGCGGTATCACCACATACATCTTTACCTTTGAAAGAATAATGTTTTTAYTACTTACACACTTGATTGCAGCTCCGGTAAACATCACGATGGGCATCATTTTATGGACATCTGTGGCATAACATCACAGCAACTGCTTGGAGGGCGAGGGAAAACACATTTCGGATCAGCTCTACCGGAGGAGAACTCCATGCCGCAGCAAAAGTAATCCAGCAGCAAGTCTTAGCTGCTTCATAATCCTGCATGGGAAAAGCCACAGGATGGGCCACACTCAYCAGCAAGGCCACGCTTTGTCTCCAGCTCAGAAGGAATTAGTAAATCTCTTAATTTCTCTATGTAATGAGTGCAACCAGTCTGTTGCCTTCTGACACAGGCACAAGAGCTAAGCTTAGATTAGGAAATAAGGGGGTCAGAGAACTCTTAGATAAGCAACACATTTGCAGACCAGCTGGGTAAGACCAGCTTCATCACAGAAGACTTAAAAGTCACTTGGAAGTATCTCAGGACAATTAAAGACAATTTCTGAGAACTGGTCAAGGACAGACAAAGCATAAAAGGGCTGCAAAAAGATAATCAAATGCCTATTCCTAAAATAGGCAGTAGGTAAAGAATGGAAGCTGGGAAGAAGGACCGTGAAATTACGTTAAATTCAGCCTAAATTCCCATTAAAAGTCTCTACAAAGTAAGCAAAATTCAGTATCTGTAATCAATCAAAAAGGAAAAGGACATGAGTAACAGCTGATGTAGGTTTATCAACAAAAATCAGGGCAAACCCAGTTTATTTTGTTCTGTAAGAGTAATATACATAAGAGAGAAGCAGCTGATGTCAAGTACTAAACCTTGGAAAGGCTTCTGATGCTGTCTCACGTGACTGTCTTAACACACAAGGAAATTTTTTTGTGTGTGAAAGTATTATGAAGATAGGTGTGAATCTCTTACATCAAAATACTATTTTGATAATGCACCAAGAGAAACTTATCAACAGTTAGTATAAAATGGAAAGACAGAGGGAATGTAATTTCTCAGGGGTCTATCCCACATAATATTCAATATTTCTCTTGCAAGATGAAATAAGAAGCATGTTTTCATATTTGTATACTAYATGAAGCAGGGAGGGATGGCAAGGACCTAGGCCTGTACATTGAAGRACCTTTAGAATGGCAAAAAAACTTTGAAAATTGGAGAAAATCAGGATAAAATAGGGTTGCAGGTAAATATATCAATTTAAAGGTAGCACACTGCTGCAAGGGGACACTGCTGTGGGAGGCCACTGTCAGTGCAGTGCTCCCCACCACATGGACAGCCTGCAGGATGGGCTAACGTGCTGCAGAACGGAYACTGCTCTGGCTCAAATACTGCATAGATTGTGGGCACATCCTTCCAAAAAGCTCTAGAGCCATGAGGAAGCACTTGGGGGAAAGCAGAACATCAGAATTTTTGAAGCAGCAAGATTGTTCTGAGGGAGAAAMGAGGGAAAGGGGCACAGGAACTGATGAAAAAAGGAAATGAATCCACTTCCTACATGTTGGGATAAAGACGACAACATGTAACAGGCTAAATTAYAGCAAAAACATCAAAAGTTGACATTGCAAATAAGCAATACTAGTAGGACAAGCACTATGGGAAGAGAGTGCCTAGGGAAGTCTTTTGTACTGGAGTTTTCTAAAACACATTGGGCAGCATCTGTCAGAAATGTCTTGGCACAGCTGATCATGCTGCAGACTTGGGGAGGGACCTGATGACCTCTCAGGGTTCCCTCCAACCCCATATCTCCCATGACATGGATTGGATTGGCTGCTTTCCTAGGGGAACAAACACAGAGGCTGAAGCAGCTGTGGAAAAGCATTCACCTGGGAAGCATTCACCTAAGTCTTCCTTCCTACAGGACGTCCTATGGAGGACTCCTTCCGTAGCTACTTGCTTCAAACTAATTTGTTTCTACTGYGGTTCACAATAGCCCCAGGATCCTGGTCAACATTTAAAAAGATGGAGATATTTTCAACCATTGCCTCCAATACTGTGACCACACAAGATGACTGTTCTTCTCTATCCCTCRCTGTGAAGAAAGAAAAAGTTAGGATTTCTGCTTCATTAAGCTCTTGAAGACTTAGAAAGGTCGTTTTGGGGGTTCTATTGCATATCTTTGAGGGTAATGATCTACAAACAAGTGTGAAGGATAGACATTTTTTTCATTTCTCAGGTGATCACTGTTAGAAAACTCTCATGAGGTATTTTATTTGCCAATCTCCAACATTTTATTAAGCAGACTCAGTGCTTAAAATGCAAAGCAAACAGATAAGAAAAAACTTTTCTCTAACCTATCATCCTTTATTAAAAGCAAAGACAAGGGAAAAATTCCTATGGCTGGAGTGAATTGCCTGTTTTAATGACTTTGGAAAGATTAGGCAGGAGTAATGGGAAAACCCAGTTTGCTTTGGGTTATTTAAGAAATGATAGCTATTCCGCTATGTATTTGCCAAGACTTCTGAAGCAGGGGTTTAGAACTAGCATTGATTTTACGTTGGATAAGATAAAAGGTTTCTATCATAGGAACATAGACGCTACTATACCAAAATAAAGAACAACAGCTAATCTAATTCACAGAATGAATTCAGTTCCTTTCCCCAATTCCCTGTGTTTCAGATGCTGATATACCTCTGTAATTACATGCAACTATATGAGTCACTGTAAAAAAAAAATACTCATAATGAAATTTGAGCAACATCTGAGCAATTCAGAAGGGGATAAGGCTTACAAGCACTTGATTTCACCCAGATTGGAACTTTTTTTTTGGACAAAGTATCTTCCTGCTACTGCCTTCCTGAAAATCTGTTCACCACCCTCTGAAGTCGTTATAGGACAGACCCTGCAGCCAGTCTAAAGCACTATGTGCAGCCACTTCTCTTAACTCCACTGCACTGGAGAGCTCACAGGTTGGAGTATGCCCATTTACAAAGAACCAGGACAAGATACAGGAATGCTGAGAGTCTCCATCTAAGAAATGGAGCAGAATTTAACCTGGGTTTTTGTACGGAGGTGAACGTGGGGCACCGACGCCGCCTGGCACCTGAGGGACATTGGGTGGGAGGAAGGTCGCAGCGCGGAGCCACGCGCCCGTGCCTGGGAAGACCAAGGGCAAGGCACAGGGAAGGGCGGGATGGGGGTGTCTGAGCTGCATGTGGGTGCACGAGTGGGTTATGCAAGCATCAAGCCTGCAAACTTCGCACACAAGGATCTCTCTAAATCGATCAACACTTTGTAAAAAAATATATATACATATATATATTAACTCTTAGCTACTGCAAAGGGAAACGTGCCGGAGCCCTGCTTTGGCTGCAGCCTTCTTAAGTAGCCTTCTTAACGCCAAAAACCTGTTTGCTGTGGGGGCTGTTTCCACAGCATTTCAGTAAAGACCTWTTAAGGTCTTGGTCTTCTAAGTTCCTCCAATTTTCCTCTTTCCCTTTTTTTTGGTCACAACATATATATATATATATTTAAAGGGATTGTTATTTACAGATTTTATTCTATTTTTCTTGCTGATTTTTTGGTAAGCTTAGCCAAGGGTAAAAAGGGCAAAAAGAAAAAGCCAATGAGAATAATCCCRCAGTTAGAACTTTTAAATGTTAGAGAACAGGGGAAGGGGAAAGGGAAGGGGAAGGGGAGACTAGCTTACAATGATCAGGTCTATCAGTCTATATAACAAAAAATGAAAGAGAAGAATTTTTTAAAAAAAAAATAAAATGTAATTCACTAGAATGGCTAAAAAGCATTAGTTTAACTGCAAATTCTAGTAATGCAAGATAACAGTTAAAAAAAAAAAAAAGTCTTTTTTCTGGAATTTGCTTTCCATCTCCAGGCCCAGGAGACCTCAGTCACGGCTCTGAAGAACACCCTGCACTTTCCTGCTCTCGGGCAAGTTCCTCCTGTCACGTCTGCATTGCCAGCTAAGCAAACAGCTTCCAAAAGCCCTTTGCGCTACGAACCCTGCAAACGCTTTTCCCAAGGCAGCCCCTGCCCCAGGGCGCCCGCACACCACATTAGACTCAATTACCCACATCTGCCAGCAGCAACACACATGCACAAAGCATCGGCGATGGGAGGACTTGTCACAAAATCCAACAGCCTCTTTTCCTTGCTGGGGAAGGAGCAGTGCCCCGGCACAGGGACRCCTGGGGCTTGGCACACGCACAGCTGAGCTGACACAGGAGCGTTTTCATTATTTCTCTTCAGTTCTCCTGAGGGCTATGCAAAATCTGACCCGTTTCCCCATGCACCCAGCAGCTATGAGAACAAGCATTATTATATTATTATAACAAAGAGGAAAAGCGGATCCACCAGCCAGCTGAAAATCTCTTTTCTGCTTCTTATTCCTCCTTCCAGCTTCTCTTCAGGTCTCTCCCCTCCCGTATTGGGAAAATACAATTGCTACCTTGAAGTGGGTTCTTGGGGTCAGTTTTAAAGAAGAGCTTAACTTATGATGGCCATGCCAGCAATGTTCCTGCAAGGACACCACAGTAGCAACCTGCACTGCGCTGCCTGCTCGCACCATCACGGAGCCAGCTCCATGCACTACACGGATTGCAGTCCTCTTCAGATGCACGTGTGCAGTGCAAAACATCTCTCTATTTATTTTTACTATTTAGGCCAGATGCTGCCTAAAAGGAGAAAGCTCCCATAACTTCTCATTTTCCTATTTGGAGCAAGTTACTCCAGAAAAGGTCTGTAGGGGAAAAGCTTCTGTCATCTTTTCTACACAGCTAAGCATCATGACCAGACTGTATTCATGTCCTCCTCAGAAGACAAAGTCAATATAATGCTGAAATCTGCCTTTAAACAGACTGCATTAGCAGTTACATTCATTCAACAACACTAGAATCTTCCAGTGGGTAGATTCCAGYGGGTCCCCACGAGATGGGTGGGGACCATCATCCATCTCGTGGTTATGCAGGTTCCATCTCCTAATAAACTAATTTCATATTTAAATCTAAATACCATTTTATTTCTTTAATGCAGGAATATACGACGCAAAATGCCAGCCTATCAAAATGTTAAGGAAACTGGTATCCATCACCCACACAAAACCTATTTTTAGGACCAAAGATTTGTAAAATTAAGGATAGGATTTGTCCTAGAGAAGCGTGCAATTTCTACTCAGTCTTCATTTGAAGTCATGCAGCTCGATTTTTGGTGACTTATGTTTTTTACACAAGGCAGAAGAAAGCCTACAGCTT